CAAACGTCACCCACTTTTCCCGAACTGCTCTGTACCAATCCTGGTAACCGTAGCGGTCGGAGCAAGGTATGAATTCAGAGGTCTCCTCGTTTGTGGAAATCTTCTCGCAATGGTCTCCTTTAAGTGAAATCTAGGAAGAGAATTACGTGGTCACAGTGAAATATTACCTGAAATTGTAACTTCAACCAGTTCCACTTCTTGGGGACATACACATACAGCCTCGACTGCTTTCTCTTCAGAATGCTCTTTGAGAGTGCAGTTTGCTGAGTTCATACAGCTATAAGTCGCACATGGTGAACGAATATCACACTGAAATAATTTGTACTTTTTTGAGCTTTTTTCAAACACGTTCCCAAAGGGGAATCGTGTGAAAGTGGTAACGACAGCGATAACAACTTTTTGGCCCTGAGTTCCGATGATTTGTGTCATTGCTCGCAGACTTTATTGCTGCTGACAATGAAATTGGAATTTACTTTTTCTATTTAAACCGCCGCGACGGTCACTATAGGAAAATATGAGTACTAAAAAGAAAACTTCCTAAGAGTGCCTCGGGGCGCCGGTGCACCTCATTGTCATCAGGGGGTAAAAAAATATTTGGTAACATCTAATGAATATCACCGACCCTTACTCCAATCCATTCCTTTGGATCACACTCACAATTGCAACCATCCTCCGGATCATAATGGCCTTGACCGTGACTACTACAGTAATCCTCCTCGCAACTTTGCTCCTCTACAGTCAGATGACAGTACTCGCCAATAAAGCCGTCTGGACAAATGCATCTGAGAGGGACCTATGTTCTTCTGCATATTTATCACGTTCTCATCAACTTACTGATATCGTATTGTAGTCATTAGGTCTGCATTAGAAGTAAGCGGAACCTCATCTGGAAAATTTGCCTTGAAACGTCGCAATTTTAGTGGATCCATGAAAGTTTGGTTCCTTTCTGTGCTGGAAGACGTTGAAAATGTTTTCTGATTTGAGGGGCACTTATAATTCAGTTGTGTTTCTAATTAAAAGGTCGAATCTTCTTTTTTTTGACTTTTAATATTTGCCCATATTTTTCGCAAAAGACTCGCCTAATACACGTGGCCCCATTCTGGCACTTATGATTCTTGCAAAATCGTACGTCGGCTATGCGTTCGCATGTTTTCCCATAGTGTGTTGGTGGACAATGACAGATGAACCTCAATGAAAATTGATTTCTAACACCCCTCGCACTTCTTGGTAATGGATTATTGAAGGCCATCCATAATTAGCTACAGCTACAGCGCAGTTCACTTTAGGTTCAAGACAGAGTTTAAGCGATTCAATCACAGCGATTTTTATTTACTTATTTTCATTTTACATTTATCGATTTCGTGCTGGAGTATCATCACAACCGATGCAAGCTGATCGGCATGCAATG